CCGGATCCGTGAAGGGTGGGCTGGAAGGTGTAAACGCGCAGTGGCTCCGCGCCTAGGCTGCTCCAGGTGATGCAAGCGGGCTCCTCTCGGCAGGGAAAGCGTGTGGCATCGGCATGTCCCGGGAGGGGTCGCTGGGCGCACGGGGTGGCTTCCCCCTGCGTCCGGAGTGACTCCTCTAGCCCCTGCCTCTGGTGTGAACGAGAACGGGCATCCCGGCGCCTCTGTCGGGCTGGAGTGTCCTGGGCGATAAACACCCCCTGGTGGGGGACGTGGGGCACTGAAATGCCTGCGCCGCCCCCGCTCATTGCTTACCCGGCTAGTTCCTAGTGCTCCAACTGCCTGCTAGGCTGCGCTGCCTGACAGTCCAGCCGAGTGACCCCAGCCACTTCCTCCCTCCCTCCCTCCCTCCCTCGCCTAGAAACTGCAATGCCTGGCAGTGCTCTGGAGCCTGCAGTACATGGCCGCAGAAGGCTGAACTTTAAAACCTGTCCCTTGTGACTTCCTTCCCTGACTTGGGTGTATGGAGAGGAAGGGGGCTGCACTGAGCTCCAGCCAGTCTCTGTGGAAGTCCTGCTGTCCCTTTCTCTTGCCATAGTCTCCAGCTGCCTCTTGAACCAGATCATGCTGTGATCCACTCAAGGGACTGGTAAAGATGCCCAGCTTCACCAGGAGCAGGTTCCTGAGCTAGGAACAGGCTCCAGGGGTGGAAGATCCCGAAGTGAAGCTGGAACACAGTGTGTTCCTCAAAGAATCCCAAACAGTACTGGAGCAAAATCGCCCCCTATGCTCCTCGCGCACACCGCTCGGCCTGTGGGGCAAATGAGGCAGCAGGGAGACTTGCCCAGGCAGCAAGCTCTCCGCGCTTGGCGTGTGACTGATTCCATCCCTTTGCAACTGGTATCCAGCCACCTGTGGGAAATGGGCTTAGGGGAGTGATGACTCATGTTAGAACAGTCAGGGTGCACAGAGCCAGTGACAAGCTGTTTCACTTGCCAGCCCAGCTAGGTAAGCACCACCCTGGTGATCACAAACCTTACGCTGTATCTGCTACTTGTTCAAGTCTGCAGGACTCTTACATGGGTTCCCAAACTCAGGGGTGTGCCCTGCTGGTGGGGGTGTGAGGAAATCCCAGGGTGGGGCAAGAGGTGACCCAACCACCACCACCCGCAATCCCACCCCAAGTTTTGCTGCTATTTTGGGGGGAGTGGGGCATGAGGGTTTCTCAAAAAATCAAAAAGTTTGGGAACCACTAGCAGAATTGGGAACCACTAGCAGAATGTAACAGGACTTCCAAGAAAACTTCAGTGTATGAAAGGAAAGGAAAATGACTTTGATGCTTCTTAAAGTCCTCAACCACAACCCTCCACCCCACCGCACCCCACCCGGGTGTCATCTGACTAAGAGTAATGCTTCAGCCTACACTCCCGACTAATGTGAGGTGGTGCAGTTTGGGGCCTTGCTACTCCTGCAAGGGGCTGAGCTGCTTAATGCTACAAGGATAGCTCAGTGGTTTGAGCATTGGCCTGCTAAACCCAAGGTTGTGAGTTCAATCCTTGCAGAGGCCATTTAGGGATTTGGGGCAAAAATTCATCAGGGATGGTACTTGCTTCTGCTGAGAAGGCAGGGGATTGGACTCAATGACCTTTCAAGGTCCCTTCCAGTTCTAGGAGATAAGCAATCTCCATTATTAAATTATATTAAGCTACTTCAGTCTAGGTAGGTATGATGGGAGGGGTCCTCCCAAAGAGGCTGTAGTCCAGCTGGTGGAAGAATTCTCCCATTGACCCAGCATTGTCTAGATCAGTGGTCTCCAACGCAGTACCTGCAGGAGCCATGGTGCCTGCTGGGGCATTTATGTGCCCCTGCCGAAATATCTGTGCTGGCCCGGCGCGTGGCACGTGCGCAGTGCCGGCACAGGACGCGTGGGCAGCCCCACCCCCGGGAGCGCGGCACATGCGTGGCCCCACCCCCAGATGCCCGGCACGTGAGCGGCCCCGCCCCTGGGCAACCGGCAGCCACGAAAGGTTGGGGACCACTGGTCTATATGGTGACTAAGGTCTGCTTTACAGCACTGCCCAGGGGTGTGGATTTTTCAGGTCCCTGACTGATGCAGTTATATGAACCCCGGTTCCTAGAATAGAGCAGGCCTTAGACACTGATTTAAGTCTAAGTCAGTGGGAGACATTAAGAGCACTCAGTATCTCTCAGGAGAGGGCCTTCTGCATTCTAATGGGTGTGAGTGTTTGCTTTTAGATGCATGAACAAGTTGAAACTTGTTACCTGCCAGGGCTTGTTTGGACATGCTGGAACTTGACTGCTGGCAGTGATGTCATTCCACTGAATTGTTTACAAGGGTGTGAACTGTCAGGCGACATGAGGGCTGATTTCTATTTTTATCTCTTGGCCTCTTCCTCTCTGGGTGAAAAGGCAGAAACAAAGTGGGATCAATAGAATATTATAGACAGTGAGACTATTAAAAGTTAAGGTTCAAGATATATAGAAGCCAAATGCCACTTAGTGCGAAAATCTCTTCCAGATGAATAGCACAAGGCTACATTGTCAGACTGTGTGAGGGCAGAGCTGAACAAACTATTCGCTGCTTATTACAGTGGTGAGAGTTAACTCTGTTACTGGAATACAGTGAATTCTGTGTGGAATGAAACCCGGTTCAACCCAAACCATTTTGGGGGTTTTACTTTATAGCCATAAAGTAACCCTCAAACTCTTTAGCTCATGAAAATCTCTTTTCAAGCTAAGCATGTAAAATTCCTGAGCTATTTTGGTTGATTTGGTCTGCATTTAAAAAACAACTTTTCAGGGCAGAGAGCTTTGGCTGTAACTGCCTAGTTCTACTGCTAATAACATGGTGCTAGCTTTCTGCTCATGGGCTTGTTGTGACTGCCCTGCTGTGTTCATTGTGGGCTGGACTTCATATGCTGAGCTCTGTTCCTGTTCCTGTTGCAGTCAGGAGAAGCTGCAGGTCTGCCACATACCTTTCCATCAGGCTATATGGGAGTAGAAGAATGGTCTCTAGGCAGATCAAGGCCAAATGTTCTGTACATAGTAAGATGGTCCTGGCCTGCTCCAAATAGTGTGTAGCCTAAATAGAAAGACACAAGGTGAGGGAACTTATCCCCCTTTTACACATGGGGATCAATTCCCCGATTAAGTATGAGCAGAGACAAACTGGACAGATGAGTCCCAGTTGATGGCCACAGGCCATCAAATAAGAATGTGGATGAATGGTATCGCACCTTGCCCTTTTAAACCGGTCTGCTATGTAACGACCAGCTGCAAAGGGATTCTTTTCTAACATTCTTTTCTTTCCTGCATGCCCACATCACAGGAGGGAGGGGGATTAGGATCCTTTGGGGACTTTTTTTGTGGACAATTGGCAACTTTCTTCACAATTTACCTTGAATGTATTTCTTGTTCCTAGACCAAACATGACTTCTCCTTGCCTCCATCCACGAAGCCAGGATGAAGTGGCTGTGGATGTGGGCAGTTGCTATCCAACAGCTTGATCAAGGGCATTACCAAAATGGACACGCTTGCAGCTTGTTCAGCACACAGTTTCTTGCTGCTATATTCTGGTACTCGGGATTTAAGGAATCCACTTCACTTCCAGTTGGTTTTGTCATCTGCTCATGCATGGCTTGGTCTCATACAAACTTACAATTTGAATTCAGGTCAATTCTGATGCCCTCCAAGTTGACATTGAGGGTTTTTTAAGGTTAAAAAAAGGAGGTCTGGTTAGTGAGTGGCTTAGCATTATGCTGTTTGCTCAGTCAAGTGCGCCATGCTTCCAAACAACTTTTCTAGCCCCTTCCTTGGGTTTGAAATACTCCTTCACCAGTGGGAAAGTGTGAATGGCTGACTAAACAGCATACTTGCATAGCTCCATTCCACCTTCAGCCTCCTTCCCAGGAGAAAACCAGATGGGAGATGTAAAAGTTAGTGTTGGGTTAACTGAACCCACTTAGGCCCTGGTGGAGGCATGCCAGTCCCAGAATATTAGAGACAAGCTGTCAGGCAACACCTCTTATTGGACCGTAAGGTTTGAACCTAGGACTTTGAGCACTTACACTCAAAGATTAAGTCCTGTAGCTGGGAAGCAGTGGCAGTCTCAGGCAGACTACCACTAGAGGGAGACGAGTACATACTCCTTGGATGAATCACAGTGCCGTGCATATAGTCGGTGACTGCTCAGAGCTGCATGCCGGGGTGGTCCCAGAAGATGCTATGGACCTCTGATGGCTAATTCACTTAGTAAGCTAACTACTGATCGGTTGCACTGCAGCTCAATAACCATGTGATGCTCATTTCCCTTACAGTTGGAAATATGCCTCTGTCACAGAGCACCATCCGGCAGACCCCCTGCAGCAGGAAGCTCTGCCGAAACCTCTTTGGCCCAGTGGATCATGAACAGCTCCAGAATGACTTCCAGGACTTGATGAGAAGACACCTGGAAGAAGCCCAGCACAGATGGAATTTTGACTTTGAGATGGAAACGCCCCTGGAAGGTGAATTCAAGTGGGAGAGAGTCCTCTCTCCTGACGTGTCTCCTGTTTGCCTGCCTTCCCAAGCCCTCCTGAGCTATGCGAAAGGTAGCGATGGGGAGAACCACCAGAGCTCTCCAGCACTTAGGATTTCCACAAGAGACCTTAATGTGGCCCTCTCAAAGGAAGCAGGGCAGCTGGGGTCTGGGTCCCACCTGGCCAGCTCCGCACGATGCGTGAAACGAAAGCAGACCAGCATAAAAGGTAAGGACATACGTGCTTGTCCAAGTACCCCCGTAGTACCAGACCAAGAGTCCTGAATGTCCATGACCAGCCCAGTGGTATCTGGGGTGGCCTGGGACATTGTCACTGCAAGTGCTGGTGCTTGTCTGCTTTCCTGTTCATGCTGCAGCACTGCCTGGCGGCTCCAGCTGAGAGGGGATCCCGCTGTAGCAGGTGTTAAGAGCTGCTGGTGTCGAAGAGGCAGTCTCTCTACCCTGAAGAGCTTGAGGGTGGGGGGAAGAGGCCAGTGTTCTCTGCTTGTTACAGCTGGGGAAAAATCGGAATGATTTCATATGGGGTGGCTGGCCAAGCTGGGATCCAAATCGGATTGGTCAGGTCCTCACATGACTGGAGCAGATAATTCAAACCAGCATCCCACTGCCTCTCAGCCAAATGGGACTTGTGAAAGCCCTGCCCAGATGAGCCTTTAGTCGCTAGCCAATCCTTAATCTTGCCAGTACAGATGCCTGTTGCTCACACAGCTCCTCCGGCCGTGGTTTGCCGGAAGGGCTCGTTCACACTCCCTAAGCAATCTCAGGCATTTCCTTCCTCTCTCCCTCCAGATTTCTACAGTTTGAAGCGGAGGATGGTCCCTGGCAAACCAAATCCATGATGCAACAGCACAGGTTCTGCCTCCATGTGTGTCTTGGTTAAGGCACAGTCTTCAGGCTGAGTCTCCAACCACTGGCCCTCTGCAGCTCTCCAGGAAGGCAGCCTCTGTCGCCCTCAGGGCAAGGATGCCTTAGGGACTGAATAAAGCCTGTGTCAGGACATGGCTGCAGGAAGACTTCTCTTGGGACTTAGTTCCAAGCCTGCTCCTGCACTGTACTGTACAAGCTGCTCCCTGCAGCTGTCTCCTATGCTGTGATGTAGCATGTAGAGTCTTATTTATAACTAGGTCTAAGAGTCTAGCGACCCACCTGCGTGCAATGTGTATTGTAAAGCTGCTGTTGAAAGCGGAGAAGGGCTATTTCATTACCTCCTTCTGCAGGCCTAGGAGAAGGGGGATAGATGCTGGAAACTGAGGCTGCTGGGCAATGCTTGGCAACAGTGTGTGTGGGGGGGAGAGTAGGAACTACAGGAGCAAGTCTCAACCCCTCCCCCCTGCCCCCCGAGCTGCTCCACCTTCCCCCTCAAGGCCCTAGGGTAAATGTGGTGGGTGAAGGAGAGGCCTAACCCCTAAGCTGCTGTATTATACCCCCACTGAAGTCTGATGTACAATAGCCTAGTTCTCCAGCAAGGCTCTGGCCCAGGGCAACTGATCCTCACATCCTGGGGTTGCTTATGTGCATGTCCTTCCCAAGCCTTGCTCCTGGGGCCAGGAGGAAGCAGTGAGTGCAGGGGCCTGCACTGGTCAAAGGCTCTCTGTTGCTGGGAAAGGAATTGGGATGGTGGGGGAGGGAAAGGAGATGTGTATTACCCATAACACCAGCAGCCCTGGCTGCAGGGCTACTTGGCATTTAAACTTAGCCCTTTGCTTGCTGGCAGGAGGACAGGCATCGGCTCCAGTGGGTGAGTGGTTCCCTGGAAGTACAGGGGGGCGGAGGGGAGGGGCCGTGGAGGGTTAGACATCCCTGCTAATGTCAGTCCACCCAGCTCCACACCGGATGCACCCTGAACGTAACCAGATACACGGCCAGCTGGCTGTGCTCATGGTGAAATGCTTCTCTGTCTGATTCCAGCACTCGCATCAGAGCAGAATGCCTTGCCTTGCCTTGCCTTGCCACTAGGCCCCCTGCTCTTCAATGCACTGCTCGCTCCCTCCTGTGAGAATTCCCTTCCCACGTGCCCCTCCACAAGGAGGGGTGAGCTGCTGGTCCCCCCCCATGGCACAGCCGTGGCAAAGCTAGCTCTCTAAGGAGACTCACTGCATGTTGTGCTGTTAGAGGCTTGGGGCCAGGCTCTGCCCTGACCGGCTGTGATCTCGCTGTTAGATGATCTCGCACACAATCAGCAGTTCTCAGGCACTTTCTCAGTGCTAGGTTCATCCCCTCTGCAACTGGCATTGGATTCTAACCCTGCAGCGGGCCGCTCCTGGCCAGGGGATGGACTTGAGCACAACCCCCTTCCTGGCAGCACTTTGCGTTTGGGGGCAACCCAGCACACTAAGCGCTAACACTTGTCTCTAAGAGGCTGCTGCATTTTGTGGAGAAATCAAGCTCAAATGTGAGTTTGATGAGTAAACATTGTGCACAAATGAAGCGGGCTTGTCACCTGTCGTCTTTCATTCTTTGCCTGTGGTGAATGGTGGGTGTAACTTCTGAATAAATTCGCTATTAATCAAGCCTGCAGGAGGAGAAGGCAGCTGCTGCCCCAGGGCCTGGCCAGAGCCCCAGACCCTTTAGGGTGTGTCTACGCAGCACGGCTTAACTCAAAACAAGCTACACAAATTGAGCTGTGTCAATTGCGTAGCTTATTTTGAAACAGGGAGTGTCCACACAGCACTTCCTTGAAATCCAGCCCTCCTCCTCCCCCCATGCAATGAGGGTTACAGGAGTAGGAGAAAGGAGCCCTCCAGCAGGAGAGTCTTTTGAAATAACCAACGGCCTGCGGGGATGAAGTGAGTTCACAATACGGCCGCTGGAGCAGGGGCTGAGTGCACAGTGGCCTGCAGGTACTGCTCAGTGCTGCCCAAGGCTGCTGCTGCTAATGCAGCGGGTCCCTTACCGTTTCCGGGAAGGTCAATTCAGGGGCGACCTGGTACCCAGGGGACGGGTTCTGTTCTGTGCTATGGATGGTGTGACTGGAGCTCTCTGGCCCAGACCAAGCACAGGGCCTGGAGGATAAATGCAGTAAGCAGTGGGAGGTGCTCTGACACACAGGCCTGGCTTACGCAACAGCAGTAGGACAATGCGGGGCAGCCTAGACTGCAATAACTGGAGGTGTCTACCCTTACATGCCATCCTGCTAATGTCACTCCCCCATGATGCTGGCCACCGCCTCCTCGAGAGGGGTCAAGGCAAGGCTGTGCAGCTCTATGGCTACTGCGTAGCCCTGGTGCCTGCTCCAGGCTTTCTGCAGCCGCCCCCCCACCACACAATCCATACATGCCCTTGGGGAGGAGCTGCACCCTCCAGAGCAATGTGGAGACATGCACAGGGTGCCTGTGCCTAGACATAAGCTGGGTTGGCTGCCTTTGTGGGCGTACATGTGGCCTGAGGCAGTGTGGGGCATGTCATTATTGGTGGTGTAGGGAGGGCAGTTGCCCCTGTGCGCCACACTAGGGGGGTACCAATTTAGTCCCCTCCTCTCCCCGTCATCCCTCTGCTCACCTGCTCCTCCTCCACCCGCTGTTGCTGCTGACTGGAGCCTCCTCTCTGCCGGCCAGCTGGCTAGTGCATGCAGGGCCCGGCCCAAAACTGGAGGGGGCGGGGGAAGACGCGGTACAAGCTCCCCACTCCTTCCAGGGTCAGGCTCAGCCATGCGCCAGGTTTGGGGCCCCACCACACGGGGGGTGTGCGTGCAAATTTTGCCTTTGCCCCCAGGTGCATAACACCCTCACTACGCCTCTGATTATTAGATCCAATTTGCAACATGGCCATAGCTGCGGAACAAATCCTTGTCCTCAGTCAAACCCGGCTCACTGAAGCCCCTGAGACTCCCTCGGTCGCAAACAAGGCACAGGCCTTACTCGCTGAGTCCAGATAATCAAGAGCTGCTCTTCTAAGAACTTTTCCCACCTACAAAAGGTTCAGAACGAACCTCCCCAGCACCCACTTCGTTCCATGAGCATGCCAATGAGGGCCACGCTCTCTGCTGGAAATCAGCCTGACTCACACATAGCAACAGAGCTGTGCAGACTGATGCCAGCCGAGGATCTCGGCCCACAGATAATTTGTCACCCTGTCCCTGCTGCTACAGAACAATGGTTCCTGTGTTTAAGTCCCAGCTTCCTTGGGGGAAGGAATTACATTGAGGGCTTTGCCTTTCTTAATTTGCACCCCTGTGCTCCCCACGGACTCATGGTCCCCTCTCCTCATGTGTTAACAACCTTCGCATATCTGCAGAGCACTGTCACGCTGCCCCTCAGCCAGGCTCTGCAAACTTAGCCTTTGCAATCCTTCCTCTACACCAATACCCCCCTCCCACTGACTGTCAACTCCTCCCTTGCAGGCTGCCAGCACATCAACTGCTCAGTAAGCTTATGTCTAAACTTGCCCCCTAGTTCGGACTACGGAGGCAAATGAAGCATACCGAAGTTGCTAATGAAGCACGGGATTTAAATATCCTGTGCTTGATTAGCATATTCGTGGCTGGTTGCCATTTTAAAATGCTGGTCGCCCGATTTAACTTGCCGCGTGTAGACGCGGTAGTCCGATCCAAAACCCTTCCCTTGAATTAACTGTTACTCCTCGTGCAATGAGGACTGACACATCATGCAGCCTTCTGTAAACTCTATGCACGCAGCACGCTCTAGCACTGACACTGCTGCAACAAGGACCAGGAATGTGTGTCACAACCTTCCCATTGTGTGATGCCATCACACTAAAGTTCCCCTCCTCCACCCTGTGACCTCTCTCTGGGTCTCTACATGCCCCAAAGAGCTCCAGGAGTTGTCCAGATTTTAAACTACCTGCAGCTCACCATTAATAACAATTAACACGCTAAGAAAGCCGCTTGCAAGCAGGCTTTGCAGCTGGAGGTAGGCCCTGGCCAGTGAACTCCTGCCCTACCTCTAACATTACTTCAATCACTGCACCGGTAAGTGCGGAAGCTTGGCTTTGATCTCCTAACTGGGGAGGAAGACAGAATCTGCTGGACATTTCCAGTTCTGTGCAATGGTTCTGGGGACATTTACATTCGGTGCACCCACAGGCAGCCCAGGACAATGCAAAGCTCATGTTCCAGTTAGCTCAGCTTTGGAGAGAAAGAATCAGTGGTGGGTTCATCTCTAGGCTATTGAATAACTCAGATCTAGGAGCAGGGCTGTCCTTACCCTTACACTGACTGTTCAGCTGCGTAGGGCACCCAACAAATTGGGACACCACAGGGTCCACCCACCTGCCCCTTCCTATCCCTGTTCCGTGGCTTCACGTCCTCTGGAGAGGATAAGTGACAAAGCCTGCCCGACCTATCAGCAGAACACCGAAGCTGTCAAGAGCCATTCCGGTGGGAATGAAGCCATTTCCCAGGCATGTCTCAACCCCAGGTCTACTGTCAGTCTTTGAATTTACTGTGCTAGTTGACAGGGCCTTAGTTTAATAAACTAATAAAAAACATTTCATTAGTGCATTGCTGAAGATGATAAAATGACATCTCTAAAAAATCATCATTTCCCTCCCCCGCCTGCCATCGGGCACAGGCAGGGCCGGCTTTACGAAGTGCGGGGCCCAATTTGAACCGTTTTGACAGGGCTCTGGCAGCCGGAATTTTTTTGTTGACCAAAAAATCCCCCCAAAAAAACCCCACACATTTTGGTTGAGCAAACACACACACACACAAATGAATTTTGGGAGGGCAACCAAAATGATTAGGGGGCTGGAGCACATGACCTATGAGGATAGACTGGGGGATTTGGGTTTATTCAGTCTGGAGAAGAGAAGAGAAGAGAAGAGAAGAGAAGCACACAAAGAAACAAGTGACAGCCCCTTTAAATTCCCAGCTACATGGCAGAGTCCCGCCTTCCAGCCAAACCAAGGGGCCAACTCCCCCTCCCATGGCACACAAAAGCTGCCGCGCTCCTCTTCTGGGGCTGACGCCCCCTCCCGCAGCACACCCGGCACACTTCCAGGTTTAGGGCGTGGGGCCCGATTCAGGGGAATCGGGCGAATCAGCCTAAAGCTGGTCCTGGGCACAGGGACACCAGTTTAATGGTACTGTGAAGGGCCCCATCAATCCTAAGGAGAGCACTGGCTAACAGTCATGCACTGGATGTGGCAGCTTAATTCTGGTCTCTGAATAAAATAACACCTGGCACTTGCCTTTTCATTGCCAAAGTACTTTGCACACAGCATCAAAGGCAGTGGCTCTCAACCTTTCCAGACTTCTGGACCCCTTTCAAGATTGGTCTTGGGTACCCCACATTTCACCTCACTTAAAAAGGACTTGCATACAAAATCAGACATAAAAATAACCAAATTGTCAAGGCATGCTAGTACTGAAAAAATTTGAACTTTCTCATGTTTCCTATATAATTATAAAATAAATCACTGGAATATAAATACTGTATTACATTTCAGTGTATAGTAGATAGAGCAGTATCAACAAGCCATTGTATGAAATTTTATGTAGCCTATGCTTCCTGGAAGACTTCTACTTACCTCCAGGGATATGAAAACCACTGATCTAAGCCACAAAACCTCTGTACACCAGAGCTGGGAAACCAGTGACACTGACCATTCTCGTTTCCTTTCTCCCAAAAGCGGCGAGGAGTCCTGTGGCACCTCGCCGCTTTTGCAGATTCAGACTAACACGGACTTGCATACAAAGTCGCTGATACCTTCTTCCAAAGAACAGGTAAAAGGTGAAAACTAAATTAGATTTTTTTTAAATCCGGGTTAGTAATGGCAGGTAAGGAATTTCAAAAGAACTTAAGACAGTTAAACATTTCAGACTTAAAGGGTGCTTAACTCCATTTGTGCCCTTGAAATTCCCAACCAGAGAGTACATAAGGGGCTCAACCAAAAACCCCAGAGCTAAAGACATCAGGACTGCGTGGGGGGTTGAAAATACAGGCAAAAGCCATTTAAATTAGAATGACTGACACAGCACCCAAAAGCATGCTCCTGCCTCAAAGCACTTACAGTCTATGGGCCAGATTTTTTAGAAATTCAGCAGCAGCTGCCTTTGTGGTTTGTTCCCCAGAGGAGCTGAGAACTTTGGAGAATCTGGAATCACTCTCGCTGTTTTATACCAAGAGTGTCCCTTTAAAATATCATCTTTCTATCTTAGGGTCACGAAGCTCAACAGGAAATGCAGGGAACTCTAACAGCTATGTGTAACCTAACAGCGGAAAAGTGAGTTGAGCAAGAGAAAGAAAATGACAGATCACGCCCACACCAGGTTGATGAAACGTAACAGCAGAACAGCCCCCTTCCTTTGTACTTACAGTGCCAAACTTCCAGGAAGAAACAGGGGAACCAACTCACTTCAGAGAAGTTGCCTGCACTTTGCAATGTCTGGGCCCCCTCCCACAGGCACGTCTGAAAGGTAAGTGCAGTTTACAATTTGGTTACTTTTTTATTCCTGAGGCCAAGTTACCCCATCCGTTGCAAAACCCTGAGCTGATCTACTCTTTCATGCAAACAAATAGTTCTCATGTTGCTTAAAAACAAAAGAAGTTTGTCCCACTTGGCTCCCAATTTGACTGAGCCAGGGCTGGATTTTCTGGGGCACGGGGCATTTCCAAAAATCAGGCCCCAAGTGGAAATGTTTTGATCTTGACATTAATGGGCTCATGTGAGCATCTCAGACGTGCTGCAGCTCAGCTAGTGCACGTCTTGCTACGTGAAAACCCCGAGTTACAGCCAGAGATGCCAGACCCACTCTGCTTGTTAGCTCAAGAGGATTTCCTCAAGAGTGTCCTTTGACTTGCTGTCCAGGTAGGTTTCCTTTTAGGGATGGAAAAGGTTAACTGGTTAAAGGGTGCGCATCACCTGTTAAGGGTGATACTTACCAGTTTCACTTAACCACTAACCGGTGGGGGCTCAAGTAGGAAGGCAGGGGGCTGTTCCAGTCCTGCGGGGGGCCTGCCATGGACAGAGGAGCAGCGGTGAGCCCAGGAGCCACACAGGCAGGGACTGCTCCGATCACCTGTTGCTGAGGGCAGGTCCAACCCTGGCCTTGGCAGGCAGGCAGGCCACTCCAGCCCAGCAGGGCTGGAGAAGCCCCCTCCCCAACCATGTCCCCTTTGGTCAGTTAATTAGTTGAACTTAATGTTTAACCAGCAGGTTCATGAGCTGGACGGAAGGGGTGAGAGGCAGCTCTGAAAAAAACAGCAAGAGGACCGCAGCCTGCCACGGACCTCTTTAGAAACTGTCCCTGTGGGGAGAGAGGAGGGGGAGAGGAATGAACAACTGATAAGGAGACTCAGGGGAGCTGAGCACAATACCAGCACTGCTAAAAGATTCAGGGGGAGGTGAGGGGCTCCAACAGGGAGTGGCCAGAAACTTCAGCTGATGGCTGAGTACTGTTCACTCAGCCCCAACACCCTTTGTTTTGCTGAGGGACAGAAGGCCAGATGCCAAGAAAAGGCAAGTGGGACTTGTACCATGGCCCCTAAACTGCAGGATAGGGGGCAGACCAGGGGTCTGGGACCCAAGAGTGGGACTGACCCTGCCACACCAATTAACCAATTAAAGGGGATTTTTCATCTCTACTTCCTTTGGGCTGTTTGAGCCCTCTGTCTGAAAGTCTGTTCCAGAAGCAGATAAGTCTTTGGCCTGCTCACTGGCTTCCTGGGTACTTATCAGCATCTCCGCCTGACCCTTGCAAAACACACAGCACACTGCCATTAACGTTCCATCTCAGCATCACGTCCCCCTCAGTGTGAAATGGGTAACTTCTCTACTTCCTGTGCAAATCTCATTTGTCTAGAGCAAACAGGGAAGAACGGCCTCTGGGGACAGCGGCAGGCAATAAAGAGCTGGGTGCTGGCTTGCATTCAGAACCTCACCCTCCATTCAATTTCCCTCTTTGCCACAGACGTCCTATGTGACTGTGGGCAAATCACTTATGCTGAGATAGTCCAAGGGATTTAGGTGCCTAACTCCCATTGAAACCATAGTCTCTCTGTGCCTTGGGATACATCTTTGCTGCAAGTAAAACCCTGTGCCACGGAGTCTAAGAGCTCGGCTCAACTGTGTAGGGCTTGTGTGAGGCTGAAAATAGCAGGCAGAGAGTCCCACCCAATGTGGAACCTGGGCTCTGAGACCTTTGTCTCTTGTCTGGTGTTGGAGCCCAGACGCCAACCCAGGCGGGAATGTCTGTGCTGCTGTATTTTTAGCAGAAGCCCAAGTCAGTTGACCTAGGCTCTGAGACTTGATGATGTGGGGCATTTTTCTGTAGTGTAGATGCATCATTAGTTCCCCCCATACAAAGCAGGGATAATTATAATGACAAGCTCTCATCTAGCACTGTCCAATGTAGGTTGTTGGAGCCCAGACGCCAACCCAGGCGGGAATGTCTGTGCTGCTGTATTTTTAGCAGAAGCCCAAGTCAGTTGACCTAGGCTCTGAGACTTGATGATGTGGGGCATTTTTCTGTAGTGTAGATGCATCATTAGTTCCCCCCATACAAAGCAGGGATAATTATAATGACAAGCTCTCATCTAGCACTGTCCAATGTAGGTTAGCAGGCCTGCCGACAGGCGGTAAAGGGGGCAACTGCCCTGCGCTCCCAGCCCTGAGCCCCAGGCCCTTCAAATCCATGCCAAAGCACCACGTGGCGCACCCCAGGCCATGCTGAGGGATGGGGGGGGGGCAGCGCACCATGATCCAGAT